TAGCCCTGCCTGTGTGATGTCAGTGCTGAGCAGAGCCTAAATTCTGTTCCCCATAACCCTTTTCTAGGGTAGATCCTCATGGTTTGATGGGTAAAGCAAAGGAGACCATCAGCACTTTCTCTAGCCCTGCAATCCCACCCTTGTTTCCGGGAGTGGGGCAAGTCCAGGGTTTTTTAGTGCTAGTTGCTGTCAGTTTTAACCCTCCCATCTCTTTGCCCCTGCCAGCTTTAAATTGCCCACAGGAGATATGCGCTCTCATTTCTCAGATGAGGCAGAAAAGATGCGAATGGCTTTATTTTCCAAAGTACCAGCTTCATCTGGCAGGGGTTTGGGGCAGCCTGTAATGCTCAGCACCCTTTTGGATTAGGCCACAAGCATTACCATCCAAAGTGACAGCAGGGAGCAGAAGTGATGGTGGGGCTATGGCTGTGAGAGCCTGCCCTCTGGTTCATTGCTCACAGCTCTGCCCTTTTGTGCATGCACAGATTTTTTTGAACAAGCCCAAATCCCCCTGGGTCTCTGTGCTGTTAGCATGCTCCCCCATCCCCAGACTCCTCAGCAAAAAGGCTGGATTAAACAAATATGAAATTACAGGCAAGGCACTGGGGAGGGTGGTGGTCTGTCCCCCCTTGCAGCCCGCATGCTGCCTGTGAGAATGAATGGAGGATGGGGGGCCACTTCCCAAGCTTCATCAGTGTTGCCACTGCAGGCATGGGTCCGGAAGATTGCTTCTGACTCATAACTGAATAGGCATCTAAGGAAATTTCACTTACGACTGTGCGATAAGGCCCTTCTTGTGTGCAGAAATGGGAGCCCTGGAGCCGGGTGCCTTGGGTGAGATGCTGAGTTTGGCTGGATCCATCCGAAGCTGGATGCCCTCAGCTCCAGTGTGGGTGTCGGTCCCTAGAGGATCAGGGTGTCCTCTGCACAGCATCCCCGCAACTGGGTGCTGAGGAAGAGGCAGGAGGGAAAGGGGGGGGGGGGGGGGGGAGAGAAAAGGACTGTGACAAAATCACGCGACACCCACGTAAATATTGTTTGTATGAATTGGGTTCTTCATCTTTTGTTAGCAGCAGCTTGTTAATTAACAGCAGATTAGTGCTGCTTTCTTCTGACACATGAATATATTTTGGGCTAGAAAATACTTCTACTCAATAAAACTGTATGACTGAACAATTCAGAAAGTACCAGCAGAGTGCCATAATGGATTCCCTTTTCATCCCCTCCCCCCCGCCTCCTCCTGCTCTAAATGCAAGCAGATTTCTGCAGTCTAGTGCAGAAGAGACATGTTAAACACAGCTAAATAAATCATGTTTACTCTTGGCGTTCTTGGTAGTGAAAAATCTGTTGGCTGTTTTTACTTCCTTATTTCTCAGCATTTGCTTCCTACCTGTTTTTGAGCCTGTGCCCAGAAATAGTAGTTTTGTCAAACGAGTGGATTATGCCAACCAGCAGTTCCCTCTGCCAAAGAAGCTGCTGGATCACAAACCCTGGTGACTTCTTTCTTACAGTGATACTGAGATTCTCCCCCTTCCTCCCTCCCCCCATATTAGAATATAAAAGTATTAAAGTCTGGAGAGGGCAAAAATATAAGCAGATCTGGTGGTTTAAGAGCCCAGATGAAGGAAAGTTGAACTTCTGTTTCAGAAGCCCTCCTTTAAGCTGTTTGTGGAAGTGAAAGCACTGGAGAGGATAGCAATAATAGAAACCAGCCGTTTTCCTTTTGTTGTTATCATTCCTTGTCCCGTCCCCCTTCTTCCTACCCCCCCCCCCCCCCCGTGGGTGTGGGGTTTATTTCAGTGTTGAGGGGTTTTGGGTGGATTTCTTTTTCTTTTTCCCTCTGCAGAGAGCTTTACAGCTAGGAGGGAGAGGTACCTAAGCTTTTATTTTAACCAAGTTGGCTTGTGAGTTCTGCTGTTCCAGGCAGTGGATGAGCTCTGATTTTGGGGCTGAATTCTGCTCCTGACGCTGCTTTTCTGGACCACCCTGTAAACCCCTTGCTTTGGTGAGGGCTAAGCCAAAGGGTCGTAGCTCCCTTTGCAAGGTGGGGTGAATGAAGATGTGACAAACCATGCTATATGTGCATGTATTTTTACATATATATATGTATATTGCATCTCTGCTGTCATCAGCAGAGCTGTATCGACTGGAGGGTAGCAGAGCGTAAAATGTAACTAACTCCGTTTTAATGCAGTCTTGGGTATTAAGCACTCTTCTTTGACCTCATGTGGCAACTTTTTAGTCTGGACCTATCCTCCTCACTTCTTTTATCCCAGATGTCAATGATCCCAGATGTGACTGTAACATGGATTATGAGCGTGGTGGACTCTGTTTGGTTTTAAAATTAGAAAAAAGATTCTTTTTCCCATCAGAGCTTTGCATGTATTTACTCTTTGATCACATTGGAAGGGCCTATCCTGTCTCCAGAGGAGCTTTAGTTCTGCTTTCGGTGGTAACAGGGATCTGGCCCGTGCTGAATATTAGCATTTTAATAGCTTACTTAAAATCCTATTGCTGGTGCACTCACAGGGCTCCCTGCAGGAGGAGAGTCCAGCTCTGGGGTTTTGTAAAGCGATGTTGCAGGCTGCAATGCCTGCTGAAAGAGAGAAGTGAGGATGGCCTATTTGTCATAGATTATTAGTATTGTCAATAATAACATGTCTACAGTAGCCAAATTAATTCCTTCTTCCACTTTACTAAGTCCAAGAAATACCAGATCAGTTTCAGAACAGGGGAAGAAAGAAACTGAATCAAAGTTTGTATGTTATGATTCCTCTGAATTTCTGGTGGGAATACTCTGTGATAGAAATGATATTTCCACAGAGGCATTGGCTGCCAGTTTGCTTAATTACATTAAATAGTGGTATAAACCTCGGCAGAACATAAACGTCTGTTACAGCCAGTCATTAGAATATTGAATCATAAGGAATAATGATACCAGTGCTAACGTGTTACAACAGTCTTTATTATATTAGTGATTAAAGCGTTATTTAAAAAATAAGGTTTGTTGTAGTGGGTTAGGTGTGCATGCATATTTTCTCTGATCACCTATTAAGAGCCTGAGGACTGGATTTGAATTTATTACAGGGAAATAAAAGGCTTGCTTAGAGGAAGAACTACTAGATTGCTGCTTATGATTTTGCAATTTGATTCCACTTGTCCTTAAGGAAGATTCATAATGCTTACTTCAGAAATGCCATCTACATCTAGAAAATTAGGGTTAAAAGGACTACTTTGTTGAAACTAATTACAGGCTAGTTCAGTTTTTTAGTTGGTGACATTTTAGAGATTTTGCTTGTAACGTAAGAGGTTATAGAAAGATTTGGTTAGACTGTGATATACAATAGTAAGCTGCTGTTTGAGTATATTGACATTTTCATCAGAAACAAAACAAAAAAACACTAGCCTTTATTTTACGGGGATGATAGGTATGAACTTGATATCACTTTCTCACACTGGCTGTGGATGTTTGAAGGAATTCTTTTGCTTCACCTCCGTTTGTACAGTATCTCTGTTTATTTATTTATTTATTCGAATACCCTTTCCTGGGTAATCAACTTCAGTTTCCATTTCAAGCAGATCTGATGGTAAAAGTCTTTTTGTGTCTTACACTTTTACCTTACAGAGAAAGTTGCTATTCTGTACAAATAAATGGCTGAATTGAGAGCTATGGGGAAATCTGATCCAGAAAAAAACATCCCTCAGAAAAAATGCACTGTATGCAGAACAATTCATATTTTCTTGTATTTGTCTTTGCTCATAGTTCTTGTGTCATACTGAAAGGAGCAAGACCTTCTTTATGTACCATATTGTGTTTTACCTCTCCTGGTTCAGGGTTCAATTATCCTATCTAATTAGCACTTGTGAGTGCCCAAATTCTGCTTAGATTCAAGTCTTTGGGTGAAACTTTTCATTGTATTATTTAGCAGCAAGTTTGCAACATGCTTCCTTGTGCAAATGAAACGTCAGTTTATTATTTCCCTGTTTTAACTTACGTTATAGTCTGAACTGGATTCCTGGTTGCTGTTTTATTTTTCTGCTTTCTTTCATTATTTAAAAGCTAGTTAATTTTCTAGCCTCTCTTCCATTCAGAGAGCATTATTTACTCAGTTGTGCTGGTGTCCAGTAAATTGAGGGCTGAAGCTTTAGATCCTTAGGGTTCCCCTCATTTGGTGGATTGTTTTACCGTCTCAAGCTGATGGCTCCACTCATTTAATTTGACAGATTCAGTTATCAGACTTGGTCCCCCTTGTACAGATGCAGCTGGATTGGTTTTCCCTTGAGAGATCCAAAACTCAAAGGGGAAAAAAACTAATTTTAAAAATCTCTGTTGCTTCCATGACACCCCCTCCCCAGTCACTTGCCCTGCTTCGCTTGCTTAAGTTTGCTTGGTGTCAGTGAAATGCTCTGCTGAGTGTGAATGTGCTCCATGCACAGGGCAAAATTTGCAGATTATAAACATGCACGTTAATGCGACCCCTCCAAACTTGAAGTGTAATATATGCGTAGGCAGGTAGACTATTTTTCACATTGAAATTCAGGACTTAAAAAGTGCCTAGACTTACATTGCTTTTGGCAAGGGGTGAGCCAAAAAAACCAGGAGCTGTGGTTCTCTCTCAAAGCTAATTGTGTCTGTATATTAAGTTTGTCCATCTGTGCTTTGCAGGGATATCTGCATTACCTGATGGTCCTCCTTCTCATTTCCAGCAGTGAAACAGTTAACAGTGCTGCTGCTTAGTATATTGCTGTTACAGAGTCTTTATAGTTTCCAGGACATTTAACTAAATCAAGTGGATGTCATTAGCTGATTTTCACAGATGGGGAGACTGAGGCACAGAGGGGCAGAGTGATTTCATCTGCCTCTATTTCCCAAAGTTCCCTCCCCTTCCAGGAATTGTTTGTGCTACAAAACAGCTGAAAAGTTGTTAAAGCTTCATCTTGCCTAATTCCACCAGTTATTTTTTTCTTTTTTTTTTTTTTTTTTAGTGTGGGATAGGGACAAAATTCAAAAATACTACCAGAAGGCAGAGCAAGGCAGAGATACTTACCTGAGCAGAAAATCCTGCTGTTCTTTTTTTCCAGAGGTCATATTCTGCCTGAGGATACTTGTCTGCAGCACAGTCCTGAATGGCCAAGGCAGAGAAGTCCACCAGTGTTACTGACTCTTGCCCATCTGGGGCTCTTCCCTGGCCACTTCACTTCCTTTGGTTTAGCCTCTTGACCGTGCTCTTGTGTTCAAGCCCTCTGATTATTTGTAGTGGTATTTCTCTCTCAAGAGCTTGTATATATTATTGTGCCCTTTGCAAACAGCTCTTTCCATCCTCTGATTTCCTTTCTTGATTCCAGGGCCTGTTAAATTGCTGTGATCGTCTGTTGGGGTGGTTATATGTTTCAATTATATCAGGAATATTTGCTGGTGTATAGAAATATTCATGGTATAATTAGGACAAAAAAATTTAATCCCCACAAGGATTTTTACAACCATTGAAACTCCCCAGGACTTAATCACAAGAGTTGGGGAGCAAACTTGGGTAAATTGATGAACTGTTTATTGTCAACCCTTTATGCCTCTTGGAAAACAAACTGCACAAATCAGGGTGATTATTGTTACTTGTTAGTTTATTGTGGTAGCTTCTGGACATTGCAGCTCAGATCAGGGCACCATTGTGTTAGGCGCTCTGCACCCCCGCAGCGAGAGCCAGGCTCTGCTTGGAAATGTTTCGGGGCTGAACAGACCAGATGGGCAGAGGGTGGGAAGGAGAAATCTTTGCTCCTGTGAGAACATGTACTGTAGTCTGTGTGGCCCATGTCTTGGGGTGTGCTCCCCAGCCCCGTTCCCAGCCCAGAGACCTATCTGCAAGGTGAGAAAATGCCCTGGTTTTGTATCACATCTGTTTACATGCTGTATTTATCCCTGATGATGTTTTTAGGCCAAATCTTGCCCTTTTTTCTCCTGCTTTCCCGCCTGGTTGCTGTCATAGCAGGGAATATGGTACTCCTGGGACAAAGCCTTGTGTTGGTGGGGTGGGCAGAGGGCACAGAAGGAGAAAGTGATGAATGGAGCCTTGGGGTAGGCAAGAGTCTTTATTCTTGTGTGCTTAATCAAGGTGAGCGAAGATGTTTCAGTTTTCGCTTAGCTTCATGTTCAAAGCATAGGCAGTGGGCTAGGAGCAGGTTGAGATGAGCATCAGGTGGGAGGAGGGCCAGGTGGTCTTACAGGAGCCCCCACAAGGACCCAGCTCATAGGGATGCCGCTGATGTCTCTGTGTGGCACCTGGATACCGACACCCCTGCAGGCCTCTCACCCTGGCCCCAGGCGGGTCCAGCAACAGCTGCCATTTCCTAAAAGATGGGTTTTGGCACTGCATATGCAATTTTGCAGGCATACTGTGGGCTACTTCTGGGAATCCACATGGTCTCTTAGGTAAGTAAAAATCTCTACAGCCTGCCCTCGATGTTTGAGCCTCCAAAATGCTATGTGCAAATATGTGGATGACCTAAAATGCGGATTTTTATGCAGTAAGAAGAGTTGCATGCTCAAAACAGTAAATTTAGATATATTAGGATATTTATTAACCACACGGGGTGTTCCAAGCTCAGTTTATTTATCTTTGTAAAGTGCTTCCAGATCTTTGCATGGAAGGCACTAGAAAAATGAAAGGCTTATTATTATTATTATTATTGTTATTATTGTTGTTGTTATTATTATTACAGCATCTAACTACTGACAGGCAACCACAGCTGCATGCTCAATTCAAGCCACTTAAATTTAGGGGCTGATTTTTACACTATTGACTCTTAATACTTTTTCCCATTGACTCCATATGCAGAAATGTGTGTTCACCTGCCCCGCTGAAGTATCATTATTCTCCAGAAATATGTAAATGGAGTGCTTTTAAAGAAAGGAAGAAAATGTGGCATAAATATTAAGTGTTCACATTTATATGGTAAAACTCAACTGCCATTTAAGAAGGGCTTCAAAGCAGCCAACTGTATGAGCTGGTAGTTGTTTCTCTATCATTAAAAGAGAAAATGCATTGATTAAAATAAAACCAAGGAATCTTGTAGACAAAGAATAACATTTACGGTGTTCTGGGGTCTGAGATGAGCTACGAGCAGCCCAGGAAATGGAGCCCTGAGTTTCACAGTCAAGCGGTTTCACCAGCACGGTTGTGCACAGCCGCGTGTGGGTTATGTAATCTCACACTTCACCCACCCACACCTAAAGACAACGGGCACCTTCGAAAGGTCTTGGCATTATTCAGAGGGAAGGCTCCCAGCAATACCCCTGCACGGTGTTTAACCTTATCTCTACTTACCTTTAGGAGTTCCTTTCTCTTTTCTTTCCTCTCCTTCCTTCCTTCTACTTCTTTTTTTTTTTTTTTCCTCCTTTTCTTTCCTGTGGTACATCAATAGTGATATTTTTGTGTCTCCAAAAATGGAGCAGATATAGGGAGAAAAATCCCATTAGCACCATGATGTGTTTTCACGGCAGCTCTGAAGGTTCCGGTCATGGCCGTTTTGTGCATTTTGTAGCATTGTCCTCATGCTGTTATTTTTTTTTTTTTTTCTTTCTTTCTTTCTTTTTTTTCCCTAAGTAGAGTTGAAATGTTACATTCTCAAAACACCAGCTAAGTATTAAATAATACCTAGCCTATGCTTTCTTTAGGTTTTAAAATAGAAAATAATTAACCAGTGGTTTTAAAGATCTCCAGAACAGTCAAACAGGCCTATGAAACCCCAGGATCTAATAACAAAAGTGAGCTGGTTTTCCAGTGCCCTGAGAGTTTGAAGATACCCTTACTCTGGCTTTTGAGTTACAGGAGCTCAACCATGTTTCATTCTGGTATAGCACGGCCCTGAATTTAACTGATTTTCGGAAAAAGACAAAGAAAACCCCAAAACCCAGCAATGTTGCTGGCTGCTAATTAGATGTATTTTAACTGCAAGGTCATTTTAGCAGCTAATATTGTTGTTATGTGTTTCAGTGTGAATCCTTAGTGAAGCTATTAAACTGTGAGAGCCTGAACTTACCAGACATTTTGTAACGTGGCTGGATTTTTGTATCCTTGTTCAGAAATCTGTGGGGAGTGGAGGACCTTTCTGGCTCTGACATGGAAAACACATTTCTTACCAGCTGAATACCAGGGTGGTCAGCTGAGACCTGCTTGCACCTTCCTTTTGCACCTTTTTTTTTAGTCTTTAAATTTTTCCCTACCTGGCAATAAGATTTCCTTTTTCTGTTGCACTCCCTTCCTTCTCTCCCGGGCGGTAGTCAAGCCCCATGGTGCACCTTCTAGCTGAGGATGCGTATTTAGCAGCAAGGACTGGTCTCGGTTATTTCAGGATACTTTTGACTCCTGCCTGTTGTATACGACAGGTTGGCAGCTCTCAGTAGCCGGTGGGCTCTCAGCATCAGGCAGGCTCCTGCTTTTGTAAAGCCATAGCCCACAGCAGATAGCAGACTTAGCCATCATTTTCCGATCGGTTTCTCACCCAGAATTCTTACTTTGTAATTGCTGGGTTGCATTTCTCAGGGTTAGGATTTTCCCCCGCTGTCTCATTGCATCAGTTGCTTTTATTCTCCTTCGCACTCTAAAACAAAATGACTGATACAATATCCAAACTGATGAAAAAGAAGGGGATTTTTTCCACCCTTTATTAGCTCAGATTTGAATTGGGTTATCTGCCTATCTTGTTTATGAAATTTTGTGCTGTCTTTTCTGCACAGACTGTGACTCCCAAATCTTCCACAGCTCCATTTCCATATTCCTGCGTGCTTGTTCTTTGTTAATCACTTGGCAAGCGCTTATTTGAATATTAAAAATTTCTTTAATCATCAAAGGCAGGAGCACAGCTTCATGAATATTCATATTTTTTTCCTCCTCAGACTGGATTCTAGTTCATTACCCTGCAGTAAAGCCAAACAGTCATCAATCGCGCTCATTACAGCCGCTGGCGTTTTGATTGGCTGCCTGCTGCTGGTAGCCCGCGTCCCCCATCCTCCCGCTCTCCTCCATGAGCTGTCGTGTACCTGCCAACAACAACAACAAAAAAAAAATATCAACAATGCAAGAATAAATTTCTCCGGTTGAAAAACAACTTTGCAAACTTGTCAAAGAGTCCTTGTCACTTTTTTTTAAATTTTTTTTGGTTTTACACCAGAAAAAATAAATAAAAAAAAATTAGAAGGGAGAAACTTGAGCTTTAGAGATGAATATTTGTCAAGAGAGTTGACGTAAGTTTCATTTGCATAATGACTTTGTACTTCTGCATTAATAAAATTTGCATATGAAGCCATGTTAATTACTCCTGATCATGCTTTTTGCATTCATGCATAGTAATTTTCTCCGACTTGTGAGAATTAATGTCTTGGCATGGGGGGAGGAAGGGGGAGAGTTGGGGTACTGTCAAATTGCTGTGCCAGTGCCCCTCACTCACACTCTTTCTCCTTCTTGCTCACCACGTTGCTGTTCTTGATCTATGACTCATTTATGCATTATCATTTGAAATTCTTGGGAGAAAGAAATGTCTCAATTTAAAGGGAATCCTTGTCTGCCAAAAAAAAAAAAAATTATAAATAAAATCCCTGAGCAAAATATAACAAGAAATCCCTTCCCTGCCCTCCTTCTTCCCTCCTCAGTGCAGCCTTTCCATTTCCAGCTCTAGCAAAGTTTTGTCTTGGCATCATTAGTCGGTGGAGGGGAACTGCTCCAAAACTGCTCTGTGTGTGCTGGGGGAAGAGGTAAAGGCTGGTGTGCAGGTGTGTCTGGCTGAGTGCCGGACTCTGTGCCTGAGTGCATATAATAGCATGTCTGCCTGTACCACTGAGTGGTTCTGCCTTTCCTGGGGAATGCTGTCTGTGTCTGCCACTTGCAGGGTGTGCATGCATTACTCTTCTAGTTGCTGTTGGAAATGTTTGTGCATCTGTATCTGTGTATCCTCTGTGTGTGTGTACATGTGTGTGCTTGTGCACGTCTGCTTCGTCAACCCTCTTGGTGTCTGTGTAGAAAGGCATGGTAGAAAGATAATATCAGGTGGGAGCAGTCCATATGAGAGGGTGTAATACAGATGACATGTCTTGTTTTAGGAAAAGCTTGAAAGAAAAGTCTGTTGGAAAGGTTAGTGAATAGATCTGTCTTTCAGCTTGGATGTGCCTGTTCAAAGCTGCTGCAATGGTATATATAAAAACCATCTCAAAACATCTGCAGTACTGTCCCTGAACATGATGGGCACAGGGCAGCAATGAGGCTGCAGCGTGCACTCTGCATTTGTAGCTGTACACTGTTTGAACAGATGTTTTTCTTTTTATTGAGTTTTTTAATAATGGAGCTGATCTTTAGTCTCTAACCAGCTATTGATTGATTTTTCATCACCAGACAGGCACAGAGAGACACACAGAAAAACTTGGTTCATGCCCTGTTAAGTGGCTTACATGTCCGCCTGCTCGCCTGCCTGTCTGCCTTGTACACAGATACACACCTAGGCACCCACCCAGGCAAGCATACAACACCCCAAGGGACACACCAGCTACATAGCTACATGTGGCTGCATTTACATGTGACATGAGACATAAAACAAGATCTCTTAAATTAAGGTTGAGTCCCCTGGTCTCCACCATGCTGAGGTGGGACATTGTGAATACTGCTTGTAGCTCCATCTTTGTGCTTCACTCAGGGACTTTTCTGCAGATGTACCAGAGTAGCATGGTGTTTTACATATACCACATCATATGGCCAGTTGTGCCTAGGTTCAGGGAGAGACACACAAAAGAATTCATTTTATGCCTTGATTGTGGCTTTTGTCATGTTCATCTAGGCTCTTATGCACATTTCCATCTTCTGGGGTCAGGTCCAATTTACCTTATTTTCTTCTTTGCAAGTTTAAAAATAGAAGAGAGCAAAAGAATTACTGTTAGTGGTGTCCAGGAGTCAACATAACCTGGGAGCTACTGCCATGTACAGGCACCAGCCTCTTAAAGCATAAAGACAAAATCCTCCTTCACCGTCAGCAATGCAGATCTTTTATTTACACGGTGACAGTCCCTGTGCATGTTTCACACTCATGCTGTGTGCAAAACTCCCTGTCCCATTCCTGCAGAATGAATGCAGAATATGTAATTCAGATCTGCAGTGCAGGTGAGTGGTTTCCCAGAGCAGACCAAAGACGAAAATTGAGCCTCACGCATCTTTGTCAGCAATATCCAAGTGACACAGAACTGTACGTGTGTGCCTGTTCATGCCTGCTCACCCCATCCAGATTGGATATTTGCTCTAAGATTGCGCCGCAGTTCTTGTGGTCTGCTTTCCCTTAGTGCCAGTTGTGGCTTTGCTCTTTGTGGCAGTCAGGGGCTTGCAGGAGTGTTTTCTTTTTGAAACCTATATGCAACATGATGTGGTTGATTGGCTGTAGAATTCCAGAGACTGGCTCCCCTCCCTCAGCTGGTGCTGCATGGGTTCAGCAGAAAACTCAGCACCACCTCAGGATACCATCTGTCTATCTGCTTATGTCTATTTATCTTTTAATCTTTGTTCATTTTGTGTTTGTTCATCAACAGTAGAGTCCCTGTCTTTGTTTTCAGCTTGAAATAGAGCCTTTATGGGGAAAAATCCTGCAGAAGAGGAGCTGGAGAGGTAAAATATGGGCATATTCCTAGTGAACACAAGCTGAGCATTTCTGAGCACCACTGTTATTCTTTCCATAGCAATGAAGAGGTGCCGTGTACCTCATGGTAGAGAGTTCCTTTTTGCCATGCCTTTCCTCGAGTCCAATGGTTATGATTTCTCCCTTCCATGATTTGCTACTAGATCTCATTCTATAGGACCATCCTGATTTGTGAAGCAAAGAAGCAAACCCTAAAGTGGCAACAAAGATGAGGAGGAATCACCTGATTTGACTTTGCTTGCAGTGGCAGACTCAGCCTCCTGGTCTGGGAGCTCTGTGGTCTTTGTCTCTCAGTGCTGGACTCAGGAGTGGTGGTGGGACACCCTGAGCATCTGCCAGAGTCTTTCTTTGCCCATTCTTCTTCATTCTTACAAACCCTTTCCTTTCTGACACTAGGTTAGCGCCTTTTAAATTTCCTCATATATACATCAAAGGACAGAAAAAGATGTAACATGTTCAGTTCCATGACTCAGGTCAAAAATACCTGACTAACATGTTCCAGTTCATTAGCAACTGGTTCACATATTCCTTCACATAAATTTGTTAGGTACCTTATTAAAGGGGATTGCTGGCTTGCTCCTAGTACCTCTGTTGGAAGGCTCTTACAGGATTCCTTTGCCCAGATGGTTAGAAACCTCCTATTTGAAACCTTAGCTCCCATTACACACTAGAGGAGATGTACTGGACAAGAGCAGGGGGTGCTCCCTGTACCCATTTGGTGAGTTCTTAGCATCTTCTTGGATGCCTCAGGTCTGTGCAGATTCTGACAAATTCATTGCCAATGGATAGGTGGGACCCACCAGGACTAGAGAAGAGAGAGGCTGTTGTTCTCAGGGTAATGTTGCATGCTAGGACCAGTGCACCACCATGTTAAAACCTGATGCAGTTGTGGTTGATGGTGCACTTGGTGGGCTTCATATAGTACCTCTATATCTGTGTTTGAAGGAAATTTGTGTTGATTTCCTTCAAAACCTGTAGTCTGGCACCATGATGCGCAGGGGGCCGAATGACTGCAGGACGTGTGCCCTTAGTCATAGGGCGGCTGCAGGCATGTCTGAGTTGTAGTTGTCCTGTGGTCCTACTCTAAGTCCTGATTTCAAGCTCTCGGCTTTCCCAGTGAGGATGAGTACCCGGGCAGCCCAACATAGCCTATGCTAAGCCTAGGGTATTTTCTGTAATCGTAGGAATATAGGATACAATTGTTAGGTCATTGGAGGGAATCGTTGCTACTTTTTGCTTGTTCCATGAAAAAAAAAAAAACACAACCTGGTTATTCAGATGTGTTACAGTGGCAATAGAGTGGTTCATAGACACATTGAAATCCATGTCTGATACCATTTTTCAGATGCCTAGCACACGCTCCTGCCTAGAATGCAACATAGGTATAATCTGTTTAGTAGTTATCATCACATGCTTGTGTAATACTTTCAGTGAGATCAAACAGTTACGAAAGCCAAGCAACTGAGCCCCCAGAATAAAAAAAACCCTTCCTCATCCCATGAGCCACATAGATGGCTTCTATTTAAAACCAGTCCTCACAGAAGAGCACAAATTTTATCCTTGATGCTTGAAGTTCAAGTATTTACACAGGGAATTGAGACTCTTCACTTGTGGTTTTGGCAAAAGCTTCACACAAATGTTTTGCACTGGTGGTCTCTTAGCCATTTAAGATAAATGACAAAATCAAATGCAGTCCTTGCAAACTGGAGCAGTGGATGTTGTGCCAAGGATGAAGTATCCCCTTTTGCCTCGTGTAGCTGTCAGATCAACATGCAGGCCTAGTTTCTGAATCAGGACTCTCTAGGTGGAGAGGCTCCCTTGGAAAATGTTGCTTTTTTAGGGTTGGACACTGCAGCCACAGTGTAAGCTCCTTTAGAAATTTTTTCTAGAGTTGGAGGGAATGCAGATAGATATTTCTTCTTTCTGCCATGTTATTTGCGTGTATCTGCATGGCGCATATGCACACACAAGCAGATTCGCCACCATTAAAAAAAAGAGAGCATTTGCCAGAAGATACCCCCCAAGTAACACGTATATTTCCTGATCTAAATACAAGGGGAAACTGTGGTTTCTGATCTACCACTGTGTGGTAACTATTGGCAAATGCCAGCTTTTTAATGGTGACCACTCCACCGGATATCTTCATTTAGAAGCTGCCCTTGATGAGTAGCTACCCTTTATTTAATAATTAAGTGCCAGGCATAGTTTTAAATGAAGGGGGCGGGATTCTTGGTGGATGTAAAGTGATGCTGTTTGCTTGACTTCCCTTTAAACTCTGCTAAGTTGCACCAGCCAAAACTGTGAGTCCTACCTGATTCTGTGTGTGTGTTTGTGCATATCTGTATTTGTGCAGGTGTATATTGATATTTAAGACTTGTGTCTTAGTTTTTCAAAGCTGTGGAGCTCAGTTTGGACTAGTGCCAGGAGCAGGAGAAAACTCTTCTAAGTACAGCTTGTAAATGGCAGGTGATTCCTAGAGGGGTTAAAAAGAAATAACATGGTTGGAGGTTACAGTATCATCTTTTAGCTACCAGGAGCGAGGTTGCTCCCTCCTTCGCAGGCTCAATAGGGAAGCAGCCTGCATAGCTGGGGCATGCAAAATGCGCAACTGGCCGCAGCTGAAGCAGCACAGCAGC